GCCCGTGGCGACTATTCAAATTAGGGCTAATTCCGGCACTCTAATAGAGATAGTACCGAAGTTGCTAATATTTTGGCCGATACTTTTTCAACTGTTTTCACACGAGACTGCTTGGATGCAATACCGAACGTATCTGTTCCTCCTAATCTCGCTTCACTTAGTGAGGTCGATTTTTCCGAGTGTGCGATATACGAAAAATTGAAAAAGTTAGACGTGTCAAAATCTCCTGGTCCTGATTTTATTACCATTAAGATTCTTAAGTGTTGTGCGCATGTGCTTAGCGAACCTATCGGGATATTAATGAGGCAGTCGTTTGATAAAGCTTCCCTGCCACCGGACTGGCGTATAGCAATAATTCGTTCTATTTTTAAGAAAGGAGATAAATTTAATACCGTAGTTGTCAAAATTATGGAATAAATTATTTATGAGCAGCTGATCCAATTTTTAATAGATTATTCTTTAGTACCAACATAGCAGCATGTTTTTTTCCAATCTTTTGTGTTGCTTGTCAGATTGGACCAGAAAATTTGATTCTGGGAACACTGTAGATGTTTTGTATTTGGATTTCTCCAAAGCCTTTGATCGCGTTCCTAAACGTCGACTGTTGGTTAAAGTCCAGCATCTTGGAATATCAGGTAAACTTTGGCGTTGCATCGATTTTTTTCTCAGCAATCGTACATTTCGTGTTAAAGTGGGCAGTTCTTTCAGTCGACCAGTGGAAGTGTTGAGTGGGGTCCCGCAGGCTTCTGTCTTAGGTCCTTTCCTTTTTGTAGCATATATAGAAGATCTAAAGAATACAATTAAGTCGCAATTTGCCATGTATGCAGACGACATTAAGTTATACAACAATAGATCTAATGCTGTGCTTCTCAAACAGGATCTTCTTGCAGTATACAAATGTTCCACTGATTGGCTGCTTCCACTTAACATAGAGATAAATGTGAAGTTCTTTACATTGGTCAGAAGTACGCAAAGGTTTCATACTATATTGATGGTACTGAATGGACAAAATCTGACTGTTGCACAGTCGGACGAAATCAAAAATATGTGGCCAAAATTCTGAAACAGCCCAAATTTATTAAAAAACTTGATGATCTTTGTCAAATTGCATTCATTTTATTTTAAAACATGGTTTGCTAAATTTGTGATCGAAAATTTACTGAAATATGGCAATAAAATAAATAATTAAAATACAAGATAAAAATTTTCATATTTAAAAATTGTTAGTGTTTAATAATAATTATTAATATAATAAGAATTAAGAAATAATCAAAACAAAAAAATAACCAGCCTGCTTAAAAAAAATATATGTATACATATATAATTATTAAATTTCATCGTTTTCGAAACTGATTTCACTATTTGTGTCAGTGGATGAAATTGTCGTTTCTGTTTCCTCGGTATCACTTTCTTCTAATTCGTTTTTTAAAAGTTGATGAGCTTCTGGTAGCATTTTTTTAATTTTCTTTCTGTGGACCTTCCTTAAAGAAGTTATTAAAAGATCAGATGAGAGAAGAAGCCTGAAGCTGTTTATTCTGGAAGATCTCCGCGTATGATATTGCCGATATTTTCGTATATCTTTGTTTCTAGACTCCTGTGCCTCTTCTGTTAACTGTCCAATAGGAAGCAAAGTTGATAAAATAATAATTGTCCCATGAATTAGAACTTTATGTACCGTCGTAGGCATGTTAAACCATTCATATTCGAATACATTTTCGTGCGTATGTAAGTATTGTATGCTTCTAATTATATTTCTTCTCCATAAGCAATTTTTAAAAATCACAGAAAAGCTGTAGATTAAATTTTTCTACACTCCAGACTCCAGCGATATCTGCTGAAATTTTAGGAGTATCAAAAAATCGCCTTGCAGGGTTTCCATTAGATGCTCCGCTTCCTCCTGCCCACGGTTGGTCCACAATCAACCCAAGTTTACTACGAAATTCTACTTGAATTTTTTTTTCGTACTTCTACACCTGCCTTTTCAGCGGTTCTTACTTGCCATTTTTTTATGTCTAAACTTCAAATGATACTCTAGGTCGGCCCACTAGAGAAGATTTTGAAGGTTTAGATGTTGAAGGTACGGACGTAGAAGGAGTCTCTGCTCTCCAAGATACTAACTCTTCCTGTCCTACCAACCATAAGGCATTTTGCTTAAAAAATCGCTCTTCATATCCCCTACACTTGTAAAATCTTGAGGAAAATTGAGAACACAGCCGTCTATCATTTTTCTTCAATTCAATAAAATTAAAGTTTCTTTGACTTCAATATAGTAAAACTTTATTAGAAGAGCAATTAAATGCTCCTTCTGGACTGAGCGATTTTGTTCGCATTTTTCGCGAAGAAGAGAGAATAATTCTTTCCTACAGAACATATTGAACTCAAATTTATCTCAAAAACACACTTATTAGTCTAAAGTAACACATATAAACTTACATCAAATTGCTGTATATGTACCTATTAAATGCGAACATTTTTTTAATGTGCTGAACCGATAAATCTACTTACATATTTTGTCAAATATTTCGAAAAGGGACAAAAAGGAGCATTTCAAATTTTGAGTGATTTGTCACCAAACTTTACAGATTCATATCCTATTTATACAAGGTGGGGCATTGGGGGCTTTTTTATAAGTCACCGCAAACATACAAAAGTATTTCCAAGTTGACAAAATTACAACACTATAAAAAATGTTTTATTTAATGTAAGGTACAAACAATAACTACAATATAATTAATGTATGAAAAAGTACTCACCTTGAAGTATATTGAGGTATAATTTCAGTAATATATGTTTAATACGAAGCTGAAATAATTTGATCACTACCAGTCTGAACACCATTAAAAAATGAATAATGGCTAATAGAAAGTTTGTGCGCCCTCAGACAACGTAAACAGTTTTACAATCAGCAATAACTAATTGTACATATCCCTCAGACATTTGGGCGTTCACAGCAGGTAATATTATTTAGAAAAACAGAAGTTCATTTTCCACAATTTTGACCACGTATTTTCAGTTTCGTCCCACTGTGTGTTGTCGAAATCTGGGAGTATTAGTGAGTTCTGACCTGTCGTGGTCAAATTGGATTATTCATGTTACTAAAAGGGCCAGTTCCATGTTGTTTCTCCTAAGTAAAGTTTTTTGTAAAGCTAATCCCATGGTGTTCTTGAAGTTGTACAAAACTTATATAAGACTTATGTTGAAATTTGCAAACTCCGCATGGACTCCTGTTCACCAACGGAACATCTCCTAAAATCGGTGCAGCGTAGGGCGACTAGGATACCTTACGGTAGAGTACGATCAAATCATTGTGAAAGGCTTGCGGTAATGAATTTGACAATCCTGTCTGATAGGCGAAAAAGGGGTGACTTAGTGACGGCTTTCCAATCTTTGTCCAATTCACAGTCGCCTATTCATCATTTGTTTACTTTCACACAATCCACACATTTTAACTGATCATCAGTAGTTCGACCATCTTTTACGTTGTGAGGAGCAGCTTGTTGGAGTGATTAAAACCATTGATTCGTGATTTTTATTGGAAGGGCATGATTACAGATATTCGAAAATCTGTGAAAGCTGTAGGTCATGCGTACCAAGAAAGTCTCTTGGCAAAGTAAAGACAGAAATGCGACATATGCCAGTTCCTGCATGCCCTTGGGATTTACTTCCGTGGATATTGTCGGACCATTGAATGTTATATATTTAATTATATGTCTCATTAGGTGAAATCGTTACAAGCGACGAACAAGATATAAAATCAAACAAGAAAATGATATTCAAAGGGAAATAAGTTCTGCTGAATCAAAAACTTCAGACATGAGTTTAGACAGCTTAGAATCTGAAACAGAGGAGTTAGATGAACTAACCTCATCTACAGTGGGTAGTCCACCGCGTCATCTGTATCATACAAGGACCAAAGGAGAAGCTCCCGAGTATATGTGGGTGTTGTATAAACATAAATAAAGAAAGTTGTTAAGTTAAATATATCAAATATATTTTTGGCGGGTTTATAGCTGTCTATTTCATTATTAATAATTCTAATGGTTTATAAAATGTTTTTAATCCAAGTACAAAGTAGTTACGTGGTCTATTTGTTTTTAGGAAACAACCAAAAAGGAAGTCGCGATGACGACTACAAAGAGGCTTAAAAAATATTATTAATGCATATAGCAGAGATTGATACACTTGCCCCAGCTGGCAGTTTTTTATATTAAATATTAGAGGACTCTCACTAACATTAGTTTATTAGAATCTTTAATTTATTATTTTAAGTACTAATACACATTGAGAATGAGTGTTATAGATCGACCTGTCGAGTGGGCATGGTCAAGACTCAACTCTTGCTTCCCTAGCAGGGAGGAGATGTAACGGGCCATAAATTACTTATTTTTGGAGATGCCAGTATGAATCAGAACAATCGTCATTGTCGTAAAAATCAAGGTTGTAATAATTGTGAATCTTGGATTTTATGATTTCACACCATGCTAATCAAGATTTATAATTTCACAGTTAACATCAACGTGATACCCGTAGCCTTGAAGTCGTACCTGAGGTTATTACCGATACCTCTTAGACGCTATGCGTAAGTTGCTGTCGTTAGAACGGATCTTGTAACTTGTTTTTTTTACAGAATACAAAAATAACGATTATGACACTTTAAAATATGTGGTTGAAAATTTGCACAGGTATTTTTGTCGTTATTGTAATCATTTTATTGTCATTACTTTGTAGGGTATCTTTGCTTTGTGCCACTAATAAAATGAACTCACAGAACCTGGCCACATTGCACCCATCGAATCCACAAACGACGTTTTGCCAGACATGACAAGTGATATTTTGTTAATTGAAATTATGATAATGTCGTACGAAAGTATTTTCAAGACTTAGTATCACCAGTTTCAGTACTAATTTAAGTATGTGTAACTATGTCATTGTCATTTTCAGCACTTAGTTGAATGCACTCGCCTTTTATACTAGTGAAAATCTGATTGTTTTTCTTGTGATTTATTGCTGCAGTGTAACGATACATTAAACTTTTTTATAACAAAGTGTGTTTAATTGAGCACGAAGTTAAAGGGCCCGGAAATACCAAGATCGGAATTTCTCTCTGTCGTGTAAGTACACGTGTAAGGAATACCACTGGAGCAGATTACGTCAGAACTGTGGTCTCCTATAGGATCAGTACCGAAGTATTTGTAAGTTACAGGATACCTAACGTCATCACACAAATTTCTGTAATCTTCCGCCGAAATAAACAGAGCGGGGTTGTCCTCGGAAGCATTGCAGTAGCCCTTTCCATTAATAATTCCGGATTTGGCACCGGCACCGGGCGAAATGCAGTACCAATCGTTAATAATTGTGTTGATATTTGCGTAACAGAAGTCTCTCGGGGTTTCGAAAGACGATTTGCATAAACTACCAGAGCAGAAACCGTCCTCTTCGGAAATGGTACCGTCGCAATCGTAAAAGACCCCATCGCTGACAATAAATTGTTTATCTGGAAATATCTAATGTAAAAATCAAGAACCTGCGTATATTTTCAAGCGGACCTTTAAACGTGGTGATTGTGGTACCATTTTTTCCGAATTTTATCTTGAGTTTAGCTTCCATTTCACGCACTGGTCTCAAACTGGCATACACCTGCTGACCAATGGTACCTCCAAAATTGTCCAAATTGTCTAAATTGTGGAGACCACCAACTCTGTTACTAAACTGAGGGTGGACTTCCGGTGTGTTTTTGTTGAATTCGGTTTCGTAGAAGGTATGGCGTGGGTTGAAGGTACGGCGTGGGTAGAAGGTACGGTGTGAGTAGAAGCTAGGGTGTGGCTCGAAGGTAGGGCGTGGGTCGAAGGTAGGGCGTGAGTCGAAAGTAGGGTGTGGGTCGAAGGTAGGGCGTGGGTCGTAGGTAGGGCGTGGGTCGTAGGTAGGGCGTGGGTCGAAGGTAGGATGTGGGTCGAAGGTATGGGGTGGATTGTAATAGTTAGCGGAGTTGCTCACATATGGACTAATGCCTGCTGAATGCTGCTGGACTCGTTGAGATACGGTCTTCCTCTGATTGTACAAACTAACATGTTGTTGTTTTTCCCAGTTTAAGTTTTGGGTCCAATCGTTCCAGTCATTGTTGCTGGCTACAAAAAGAGTTGTGTGTAGGTGATCTTGCCGTACTATGTAATCTTACCTCCAGCGCAAGTGAACTGTAAACAACAGATTGATAAAGTGAACTATGTTTTGTTGAATGTACTTACAGAATAGAAAACTGTTAAGAGAAGTACTCGTGAGAATTCCATTGTAGCAGTAGGAGTGGCACTGCAGAAGTACACCGTTCGAATGGTAATTGTGGCTTTTATATGCGCTGTATAAACGTAACAAAAATCGAAAATGGGCGATCGCAAATCTTTACGAGCTTTTGCCACGAAGGTCAGACGATTGCGTTAAAAATATCGAAATAATTTTTGTGCGATAAAATGTGTGCTGTACATTACGTCCTTATTCGTTGCATTTTGCTTTAAACATGTTTAGTGTCTCGTTCCAGTTATCTTAAGTCGTTTCACACTCACTTTTTACGAATGTGGGTTTTCAATATTTTCATATTTTCTTTTCACATTTTGGCAAATATAAAAATATCGGTTCTTGATAATGTCCATTGCGATAACCCAAACATCCCCATTTCAATTGACATGTAAAAAAAATTTTGAAAGCCCTCGAAAAATTTAAACATTAAAAAAATTTGGCCTTGACTGTGATCGTCTAACAAAATGGAACCTACGTTGTGTGTGTGTGTGTGTTTTTTTTTTGTGGCGAAATGCGTTCATATGTAAGTGCTGGACCCCAAGATTGGAGAAGTACCGCTAAATATAACACATAATATATGGAGGCCACAGAATTATTTAATCCTCCAATGACAAAAAAAAAGCTGCGACTAAGTTGTGCCGGTTGAAGACACCGCTTAATGCTCAGCTACAAAAAAAACTTGCCTAACTTGGAATGAAATCAAATTAAACGTTCTCAATCAATGCAAACATTTGAATTTCACACATTTAATAAAATCACAGAAAAAATCTGCAGTAAAGTAACTGGATGCATTTATTATTTATTACGGGCGTGTGGCGGCAAATTTAAAATAGTCACAAGAGAACAAAATTTTAATGAAAACTTGTATGCAGCACATCGACAGCGGCATCAGAACGCTACAAGAGTGTGGTGGTCGGACTATTTCAATTTCCTTCCTAGAGCACAGCAGAATTACCCTTAGGGGGCGTTCGTTGTAGCTCAAACGGGGTTTGGGGCTCCTGGTCGTGCCTGTTCTCCTACCCCCGACGGTGATTCTATTGTATCGCAAGCACTGCCTCCCAGCACCCCTCTATCACGAAGAAACGTGCCTAGACGAACAAACCGTCACGTCATTCCGACCGCCCCTGATTTCTATCCTAGGCCTGCATCCCTTGTGCAGATGGCGCGACCACCAGCTCGACAAGAAACCGCGCACTCCGCTTCTGCCACGTGTTTCTGTGTTTTTTACCTCAATTCCATTTAAATGTTAAATTTTTGTTATTCTGATCTTAAACTACAATCGAACAAGTGTTAAAGTTTCAAAAGGCAATACACATTTAAATTCGCCATACACTCTCGTGAAATTTTAAACAGCAAAGAATTATCTGCGATTAAAATTGGACATCAGACAATTTTATTATGGAAGCATTAATCAACAAAATATTTACATGAAACAACTATCAAAATTTATAAAACAAAAAAAAGGTGAAAAATTGCAAAACTAAAAAAGTTTAACATCTTTAACATCCATTCGAGTTATTGGTAAAATTTTAAAAGTGAAGTTATTCAGCTGCATCGTGCGCCATCGTTTTACATTCCCCCAAACAAACACATAAATAAAAAACATAACAAAACAGTCTGGAGGTCCAAAATGCCGTCCGACAAATACGTCGTTCTAAAACAATACGTCAAAAATATGCGATTTAGAAACGCGATTCATCCTGTGGCGTTTGTTCAGCGAAATTTTACAGTTCAAACATGTGCTCGGTTTGAAAGTACTCATTCAACATGGCCGCTGCCAAAACAAAGAATTTACCTGATGTTAAATTATGCCACACTTTATCAACGCATGAAACAAAGCATTTACATCGTATTAAATTATGTGACACTCTCCAAGTGATTGGTTACTGAAAATAATTAGCTTTGAGAGGTTATATCGTGACTGTTCCCAGCTCATCCCAAACAAACATATGATAAATAAATAAATAAATAAATAAATAAATAAATAAATATTTAATTGTCCTACAGAATATTTTCCAGTTACAGGACAATTTCAGCAAAACATAACACAATTTTAGTCTAACTAATAATAATTGGCAAAATATTCCCAAATCTTTCCTATCACAATTACATTTAACATAAGCAGAAATTGACAGTTACATCTTTCATAAATTTAGCTTGTCACAGATTGCAGTTTTCAGTTCTCTGGTCGAGCAGTTGAAGATATCACAATCGCTATTTCTCTCCATTTTGTTCGTATACATGCTGATCACATATAGTGGAGCTCTTCTACCAATATTTGTGCGTGGTGTACTGGAATAAAGCGTTACTGAGTACCGATTATTTAATCTCGGCACATAAAATTTTAGGCCAGAAAGAAGCTCACCACAGTCAATTTTATTATTCAGAAGTTTATGCAAGAAAATAAGTGCGCTGACAACTCTTCTGCACTGCAATGTATTAAGTTTGTATCGCTCTAATAATACTGCATGTGGGTAATTTCTAACTGGCCACACTCCTTCATCCTTGAAATATAAATACTTTAAAAATTTCCTTTGAACGTTCTCTAGCAGCCTTATCTGATAATTATAATATGGGAACCAAGCCGTGGAGCAATATTCTAGCCTAGATCTCACCAGTGAATTAAAAAGTTGAATTAAGGGTAACACGTTATTAAAACCTTTACAATTTCGTACAATAAACCCAAACATCTTACCAGCCGTACCTACAATGTTAGTGACATGTTCTTTAAAAGAAAATTTCGAGTCATAATGCACACCAAGATCTTTTATATTTGTAGTTCGCTGAAGAATACTATTACCAATATTATAATCAAATTGACAAGGATTGTAAGACAGCGTGAAGGAAACAACCTTGCATTTATCAATATTCAATGGCAGTTTATTCAGTAAACACCAATCCTTTAGTTTGTTAATGTCATTTTGGAGCATTATGCAGTCATCCACGTTGCCAATTTTATGAAATATTTTGATGTCATCTGCATAAATAAGAATTTGGGAGTTCTGGATGATATCCACAACATCATTTAAGTAAATTATGAAACAAAGTGGTCCGAGTATGGAACCCTGCGGGACACCTGAGACTGAAGCATAAGAATTAGACTTAAAACCATTATACACAACACAATTTACCCTCGAAGACAGATAAGAATAAAATAGTTTTATTAAGCAATCAGAGAAACCCATAGCAGACAACTTACAAAGCAAAATTTGGTGATTAATTTTGTCGAAAGCTTTCGACAGATCCGTATATTATATAACGTCAAGCTGGCCACTGTGATCTAGCGTATCTGATATTATTTGCGACATACACATTAAGTTCGTATGAGTTGATCTTCCTAAAGAAAAGCCATGCTGGTGTATAGAAATTAGTTCCTTAATATTGAAATAAATTTGTCGATATAAAATACTTTCATAAACTTTGGAGAAGCAGGATAAAATTGAAATGGGGCGGTAACTGCGCACATCGGATATATCTCCTGATTTGTATACTGGTACAATTTTAGCGATCTTCCACACATTGGGGAAGCAAGAATTATTAAGGCTTAGGTTAAACAAATAACACAAAGGTTTAAGAAAGGCAGCTGAACAGTCTTTTATCAGAAAAGAAGGGATTTGGTCGATGCCAGCAGAACAAGTGTTTTTTATTTTACTGATAGCTGCAAGCACATCGTCATCAAAAATCTGGATATGGAACGGCAAGTTGCTGCTATTACTAACATATGTATTACCTTGCAATTCGTTGGTTTCAGGTGAGTCAAAAATCGAGGAAAAATAATGGGCAAACATATTAACAATGTCCAGTTGACGGTCATACTCACTGTTGTCAAAATGTAAATAAACACAAAATGCATCAGGCCTTGCGAGAAAAGCTTCTCGGTGATGTAATTTTCAACGTTACGAGAAAAATATCTCGGTGATGTGATGATGATATAATGATAATAACTGCCTAAGGGGAGAATTTTTTAAATCTCCGTACCTAGAGTGGAATAATGTTAAGTTAATTTTAACTGTCGTAAATGAACTATTAACAATCGTGTGTGAAAAATTAAGAAGTGTTATAATGTAACACTTAAGTATAAGCATCCAGAAACCTTATTTATAACTTGGTAAACAAACAGTCAGTCCTGACTAGGTGAATTTCATGAAATCTCTTAGCAAGTACTTTATCTGAACAAATCTCTGACGTTTAAACTTGTGTTAGAACCAGTTAACGATTAAAATCCTAACATGATCTGTGAGTTTACAAACAATAAAACAGATTTACACTCTACCAGACAAGTAAACTTCACTACCAACCCTCTACCTACAAAAAAAATTTTTTTCAGCGCAAATTTTTAATTCAAATCTGGTCACCACACCATCCTAAATTTTATTTGGTACGTTGCGACCTTCGCATATTAGCCGTCATTTTACCAGATAATCTAAAAAAACATATTCACACAGATTCCCGCTTTTGCCTTTTCATAATTTTATTTTAAACGAAAACGATCCTTAAAAACAGCATGTGCAGTAATGTCGCCAACAAAATAAAACTATATTTCTCAAAAGTCGACCCTGTCGAGCGCATAAGACTGGAATTTTCTTCTTCCGTTAAAGTACACACGTAAGGCCGCTCGTCGGAACAATGCACATCAGAACCATGATCGTCCAACTCCTCGGTAAAATATTTATAAGTAACAGGATACGCTCTACTTTCGCACAGCGCCTTGTAGTCCTTCGCAGATACCAACAGCGTAGGCCTGCCATCCGTACTTTCACATTTACCCTTCCCATTGCTATAAACAAAGTTGACACCACCGCCGGTCGTAATGCAGTACCAGTTATCAACAACTGCACTAACAGTGGCGTAACAGAAATCTTCTTTTCTGCCGAATGCCGGTTTACGTAAAGTACCAGAACAAGAACCGTCCGTTTCTACAATAGTACCGTCGCATTCATACATAACGCCTTCACGAAAAATGTACTGTCTATCTGTAAACACATACTTTACTGATAAGTAGTTCAGGTGAAGTAGTACAAGTACTACCTGGAAATGTGGCAACGGTCGTACCCTGTTTTCCTAATTTCATTCTAAACCGGAACTCCATCTCGCGAACAGGTCTAAGATTTTCGTGAACTGTTCGTGATATTTGGGCGCCTAAATCGTCCAGGTTTAGGTTGCGTCTTTCGAACTTGACGTGGTGGTCGTTGGGGTCAACGCTCAGTACTGCAATCACTTAGTGTGTTGATAATTTTATGCGATAGACTTACCTTTCGTAGAAAACATCTGAAACGTGGGATTACTTGAGTGGATTTATATTTTGGATGATGATACTTACTTGTAAGAAAAAAATTAACAGAAGTGATATCGTGGACATGTTGTGTACGTTTGTGCAGAGAAATGCGACGGTCAAATGTCTGTTGCACTTATTCAAGGATTATTACTCATTGTTGTGGCGGTACGAAATTCCCTATAATCGTGCAAACATTCAGCGGATTTTTGTTTGAAGTAAAATTTCTTCGTGGAGAAATTGTGAATATCGAAATGCAAACTACGAAGAAGCGAATTCAAACATAAAAAAATTATTTTAAGGTAGACTGCTCGCCGCCGTCAGGGTACCTAATCAGGGTCACGCGAGAGGTTACAAGTGTGACGTCGAAAATGGATTTGGGATTCTAGCGAAATCAAAGAAGGGATTGTGGCTCGAACAAACTAGAACCCCTTTGTTGTATTGTAAAAAAAAATGAAGGAATGTATTCATAATCGAGCGTGCGAAGCAACCAAGGGAAGAAAAACAGTTTGGGCACGACATTACACTGTGAGATTTAAATCCAGATTCGATTAACATGACATAAGTCCAAAATACGAAAGAGAAACAGTTCATTAGAATTTATTAATTATATAATAACAATGATAATAATTTAAGTGAGTATTTTTAATTTCTAGCGTTAATAAAAACGTTAACAAACAAAATTTACAAAAAAAAAAATACTTTTTGTTCTTAGATAATATTCAGTTTCAGGTTTTAGGGTGTTAACAGACCAGCAATGCATGCCGTCATAAAACACACAAAACATCCACCCAAAAAAGATCGAAATGCCAATCTAGTCAAATTTTCCCGTTTGTTGGGCATAAAAGCACCCAAAGTAGACAATAAAATACCAACAGAACCAGGATTGGCAAACCCACAAATAGAATAAGTAGCTATGATCTTACTCCTAGGCTGAAACAAAGGGGTGACCAGATTTTAAAAATCAAATATTAAAGAACTTACAGACAAGTCCATTTCACCCATTTTTTGAAAAGCAACAAATTCGTTAACGATGGTTTTCACTCCAATCAACTGTCCAACTTTTTCACACTCTTCCCATTGAACACCCATGGTGTACGTCAGTGGTATAAAAACCTTTCCTAAGATAATTTCAAGGGTCCAAAGTTCTCCTTCCTCCGTATAACCTAAAAATCTTCGGTAAATTAAAAAAAAATGTATATATTTACTTACAATAACGTACCGACTAATGTTCCCAACCAAGTTAAAATACCATTAAAGAAGTAAATGGTGGCTATAAATGATATCAGATTGGCGATTATTCCAAGTATTATCATCGCAGCTTCTCCAGCACCTTTAATAGCTGCGTCCAACAAGGATTCATATTCCCTAAATATTCACCCTTTTAATTTTATCTTTATATATTTTTCTTGCTTACATTTTAATCCTTTTAATATTTTCTCTCTTGATGAGGACCTCTTCCACTTCAGGGTACATAAGTTTACTGTAGCACAAGGCAGCCGGCGCAGACATGACGCAAGAAGTGATAAGATGGGCCGGAGTCGCCCCGAAGGAAATATAAGCGGCCAAAACCGTCCCTAAATCCAACAACCTTAAAGAACTCTCCAACAGAAAGACTTTTCTTAATTACCTGACACCGACGCAAAACCTGATGTCATGATGGAATGTATCTCCGAGTCTGTCATGTGGTCCAAATATGGTTTTATTAAAAAAGGCGATTCGCTCTAGAATCACGAAGGTAAAATTTATTGATTCAAAAAAATTTCAAATCACCATTCCTAAGAAAATATTTGCAGCGCTGTTCACGCTTTCGCAGATCGGTGTTCCTAAAAGCCACTGAAGGAAGATTCCTATGTTAAGAACGACACTTTGCATTACCCCACAATAGTACAGAATATTTATGGTAAAACTCATTATATAGATGGCAGCAAGAGCCTAAAATTTTTCTCAAGAGAAAATTTATTACTTTGAAAAAAATTTGTTTTCTCACGTTGAAGGCAAAAATAGCCTGATTTAGCACCAAGTCGTCTCCATAAACGAAAGCCGAAGCGTTGACGGCGTACTTGAGGAAAGTATCAACTTTGTCTCCTATGCAACTGAAGATGTTGCGTCCAACGTCCCACCTGATCGTGAGCAGACCCAGAATGAATTGAGCGATGAGACCTGATAATACAGTAGTCCATGGGATCTAATGTTATAAAACTTTAAGTTAGATTAAACACCAAGAGATTAAATTTAATTTTACTGTTTTACTGTTTTACTGTTACTGTTTTTGAAAGTATTGGAACCTTGTTGCACTTAATTATGGCAATAGTCTTTATACACCGGACACTCTTTTAGACGTTGTTCAACCACATAACTTGCAAACGTCGGGAAATACCGGGAAACAGTAGTATTGATAAATAGTATAAAGTTCCCATCATGTAACAAGATCAATAAAAGATATACATATCATGTAAAATGTTCACTAAGTAGAATGTAAAGTACTATATAATAAAGTACTTTACTAAATTGAGTGGCGTGAACATAAATTAGAATTGCGTTATCTTTTGCGGTAGTGTGTCTTAAAGTTGTATAGTTGTCAATGAACGATAAAATTTCATTTAAATATTTTGAGTGACATTTTTTGAGATTATTGACCAAAGGATTAAATAGTTATTTATATATCAAGGGAGCAAACTCGCGCTACGCGTCGGGCCTCAACCTGAAACGCTTTAATTTTGGAAAAATGGAGGATTTGGATGAAAGTAGTGCTTCAGATAATAATTGTATCCGTCCAGGCGTTTTAGAAGTAGTAAGTTTATAAATTTATAAACGTCATTTTTGACAGGGAGGTAAAGTGACATTTTGTGCCCTTAAATGAGGGAAGAAAATCACATTTTCTATATAGTGAGTAGAAAAAATTATGTATTACCATTACACGTAGTCTGTGATTATTATTATACGCCTTTTCACAGATAAACAAAATTCCCAGTGGTTTATGGAAATTATTATTATTGTTATCAGTTTTTTGCGTAACGGTTACAATCCTTTTTTATGTGACAATTAAAAATAATTTTTTCGAGTCGTTTTGTACGAGCAATTCTAAATAAGCTGTCTTACGAGGAGGTTTTACCCACACGGAAAGTAGCCCGTGCAATGGGTTATGATTTTTCGAATGACTGATTTATTATTGCTTAAAAATAGTTGAAAATTTAACTGAGTGTTGCCAAACGATGTGGCATTTTGCCACCGTTCGAATTTTTTAAACCTGATAAGTAACTGTTGCAATAAAAATTCACAAAATCACATTAAATCTGGCTTAAATGAAGCGTTTGTAACTCAGCAATTAAGCGATGCCTTCGAAAAATTCAAACGGGGGCAGCAAGTTCAATGTTTCGTAACTTTGTATATAAAATTGCGACGTTGTAAATTAGAAATTGTTGCTATAAAACGAAAAAACAGAACGCATATTTTCCCACAAAATGAAAACCGATTTCTGCTCGCCCTCACTCGGGTCAGGTGAGGAAAGACGCTGAGCGGGGGCTCACATCTACTCCCACTCTAAAACGCAAAGCACATTCACGACGAGCTCGTATTTTGAAATACTTTCGTCACATTATGACCGGTGGAGTGTTACAAGTCAGCAACATAAAAAATCTTTCCAGGAATAGTCTTATATCTCCAGTGCTTTAGATTTAATTGAGACACAGCAATTTGGGAGCCGGAATAGATACTTCCATCGTAAATACAACTATTTTAATGGAAAGAAAATAATAATAAAAAATTGGTCGAAAGGTATTTCGACAGGACTTCCCTCGCCCCCGATGTACAATGCCACAAATTTGTATCCAATAAAACAAATACAAGAGTATGCTATTTTATAAAATTTACTCTACTCTGCTATCAAGGAATATATTTTGCATGAAATACCACCGCACTTCTCTAAAAAACCATAAACTCAACATATAGAATTTGACAACATTTTGGAGATTATCTGTCTAATAAAAACCGACACAGACGGCAGACAGATGGAAACGCGAGATCTACATTTTCGTATTCTAGGGGTCATGAAACGTAGAGTAAACTGAAAGTAATCAACTATTTGTTCGATTGACCCTATTACAATATTTACAAAATGTTTATAAAATAAGTTTTAAAGTAAATTCATTAAAATATAAAATTTCTAAAAATCGTTGTAATGAATTTAAACTATATTGCTATGAGAAGACCAACATTTCGAATAAGATTATGTTTGATTTCTGACTCATAAATGATTTCATGGCGGCAAACAGTCCATTTCAAATTCTCTATTCCAACATTAAATCAATTGAATCGTGGCTTTTCATTTTGATTTTAATTTTCGATTTGTTAACACTGACATTTGTAAGGTTTATCGGCTCAATCGAGGAAATGAAAGATTTCCAAAGCCTACTCTAATCGGAAAATCTTTTGATCATTGGCTGCTTGCTTTGTTTTAACTATATATATCTACATTTTATCATATGTACAATAGTATTGAGAAACGCCTAAAGGGGCATCTTGGGTACTACATTCGAAAAGGAATTACTTTTAATCTCAAATGTCAAACATAAGTAAATTAGCAAGGAAGTACAACGACGAACAAGTGTCATAAAATCGGGATTAAATTTAAGTTTTGATAAGATTAAATTGTAAAATTTTAGGTTTAAATAATATCAAATATTAAATACTAATCTTGCTACCTTGGATTAGAAATGGAACAAAATTTTAGCTTACCTGTCGCTTATAAGGCGAAAGTAAAAATCCCATAATAACATAAATCACGAGTCCAGTCAAAGGCATCAATCTCCACCAGTCGTCACTAGAGTCAACAATGAGGAACACAAGAATAGCCACAAAAATTAAAGCAAGAAATCCGGTGGTAGCATATCTAAAAAGCAATATTCGAAATGGAAAAGGCACAAAAATTATCGCTACTTACGGTACTTTTTTGAACAAAGCGGCACAAGGTTTCCACATGTACCGTTCTATAGGTGCAATGAGGTACTTTTTTAGAACAAACTTATAAGCCACCCCGAAATTTATAAAGATGAAGACAATCATCCAAAATCCATAGCCAGTGCACGTGGTAGAATCAAGTGTAGCCTCTACAAAAGCACGAAAAATTACAAAAATAAAAGTACTACACTTGATTTGCACCTGTTTTTTCTATAAAGTACCATGTTGCCCAAATAAAATGAGCATAAATCGCTGCCAAAACAGCTGAACCGATAGTCCAGTTGACGAGTTTTCTGTATTTTGATGGTGGTTTTTCTTTTTTGTGTGTAGGAGGGTACCCTGAGATAGCCAAGTTGTCAGTATATCCATTCTATAAGACAAAATATTTTATGCTGAAATAGGTTTCAGAAACGTACTTACGGCATTACTGTTATTTTCCGTCAAAATATGAGGACTTGTTTTCTCAGGCATTGTAACAAAAATAAGTAAATTTGGATTACTGTCCTAGAATGCAGTGGCAGTAAAACTGTCATAATAGAGATAGTGACTACAATTGAGGATTAAGTACGAATGAGTTGTTGACTAAACTTGATTAAGAGATACTTTAAAAGTAACTTCAACAAAAAAATTGTCGCAACTAAATATCTAAAATGAAAAGAAATATACTTAGTTAAGTTGTCTCTGGAAGTAAGACGAAAAATTATGGTGAATAATTTGAATACTTTAATACAAGAACACACTCTTCTACAAGGAAAATTTACAAACAAAAAAAACCTTTTAATGTGACTATTATTTGTCTTATGTTTCATCCTTTAATTCTTTAAAAATATCATAAATCTGTGAAATGGTGTAGAGACTTTGTTTCGTCTTTAATATGCAATTTATTGTTTGTTATTTATTTAAGATTTTTTTCACTTTCTGCGCAGAAAAATATGTAAATTTTGAGTAATGATAACTTAACCACTTTCCTAGAATTGCCGAGAAATTATATGATGCGTTTCCCAAATTAAAATTGTTATATATTAGATGCTCTGAATCTGAGTGTAGGGGAAAATGGATGCTTGGGTAGATTTTAATTCCCGAACTTAAGCTATAAGGAGTTCATCGGGCGACTTGGCACTTTCATGTTTTCTCGACATAGTCTATAATAAAAGTGGTCTTTCGTTTCTGTCTCTCTCTCTCTCTATCTGTGTCGATTTTTATTTGGCACGACTATTGTCAAATTTTGCATGTGTATTAGAAATCTTGGCGATGGTAAAACGCTAACCAAAATTTGTTCACTCATTTTAACATTACGAAAATTGTATGAAATAATACACTCCCGTACTTGTGGTTTATGAATCTACCTTGATCTTGTTTATTATTATCAGATTTGTTTATTTTTTAATCCACCCTCTTCTTCAGACACACAGTAAGCAATCGTTTACAGATAGCGTGGCTCAGTTTGTAAACCACCCATCTCGCAATCTAAGATGGAGCGTTGGAAGGTGATGGTCGGTATTTTTTTCATTAGATGGAATGAATTAAAAAAAAAATTGATGTACCCCACTGTCGAAGTATCGCCACTTTCCCCTACTTTAAATTGACGTTATCTCAAAATTTTGATAACTAAATGCTAATGTGCTCTGTGGAGGGCCGCAAGAAGGCGAAAAATAAATCGCTAAAATATAAAAACAAAATTCGCAAATTTGCACATCTTATCCATATGCATGTCCAAATCTGCATATAATGTATCTGGTGCAGCGCCATCGCTGCAACCAAAAATCTCATATCTGTCTTCGGAGACACGTGGCTTATGTCTCAGGCGGGTCCGCCCCTGCTGGTAGAGGCTTCATCCCTTGGGGTTTCTGCCTCTTCCATTGGGTTCTGCCCTTCCTGAGTCGATGCCTCGTTTTGGCCTCATCCATCCCAAGACCAAACACAAAGAGGTTACCTGGCGAGGCAGCCTCGGGTTTGGCCTCGTGATGGAAAAGAAGGCATTTTTTAACGCGAGCCCATCGGTTCTGAATCTCCAGGCGGCGAAGTACGATCTCTGCATCCACCGGTAGTTCCGATATCCACAGGGTCGTCCTCATCAACCTTGGTATCTCAGCCAAGGCCACGTTAAGTTGTGCGGCTTCCCACAAGGGTGTTAGAGAGCTCACTGTTTGATTTAGCCATTCCAGAGAGATCTCTTTTTCACAGGTTACCCTTAGAATTTCCCCTGTGTACTGATACCCCTGAAAGTGGCTGCTTGCCTTCCCGATGCCAGGCATTGTTCAAGTTGACTGTCCAGTGCCCCCATCAGGCCATTTTGTACCATCTCCATCTGGTCAGCAGTCAGCATACCAAGTGGATGCTGGACATCAATCACAGCTACACGGAGATCACTTGTAGCTACCTCCCTGTAGCTATGTTCTTTAGAGGTGGTTTCCTGCCTCCTCATCCTCTTTTGCTTTTGTGTTATCGGAGGTGTGGTAGTTGAAGGCAGCACCCTCTTTTTTGACCCTGAGGTTTTTTCCCCCGGGTCGTTTAGGATTGGATATTGTAGTCTGCCCTCTGCCCTTGGGGTTCATCCCGGTTTATCTGCTCCACTTGCAAACGAGCCTTTCTGCGCCTCTTTACCTCAGTCCCCTAGATTCGCTTCCGTCTAGGAGGTGGCTGGGTTTTTAATTTCAGGTGCACTCGCAGGCACTTCCTCAGTGGGTTTAGTTGTTTTATTATCCATAACTTGGATTTTGAATTCAATTCATCTTTCTATGTCCCTACCCACAACGGAATCTAATAGAGGGTCATCGAACTTCGACGCCAGGGCTAGCAGAAGAATATAGCCCCCAGTGAAGCTCATCCTGCAGTACGCAGCCTCAACAAATGAGGCTACTCGTGCTCAGTCTATATTTTCCCCAAGGACTCACCCTGCCGGCGATCTGACCCGAACGCAGCCGATTGATCTGAGATGGGTTAGTCTCGACCTCCCGTTTTGGTGGAAATCCAGGCCAAAGAGGCGTGTTGCCCAGCCATGGTGACGAAACTGCACCAAGGGGGGCTCAAGTTCCAGGATTACTTCATCCCACCTTACGGGTCTCCACGCACAAGTGGAAGCTTGTCCGCGAGACTGTTTTGACGACCCCACGCTAGGGGTTTATTCCCGAGAGAGCACATTTATTTCCAGCCCGCCTTTACTGAACCGCCTTCGTGGCCGTATAAGTCGGCAACCACCAAGGCAACACTTTTTGTCTTGCTTATCACTAATAATTACATACAAACCACAAACTGTTGAAAAATATGTGGCGAGCTACTTATCTACAGATTTCTTGAATCACTAGTGCAAATTGCATCTACGGACAATCTGATGGTCTTTAAGAAACTTTATACTTAAAAACGGATTAGAAAACTAATGTTAGCAACCAAGATAGAACCCAAACCTGTGCAATACCCCACCCCAAAGATGCACCTTTGGGGACGGGTTTTTATGAGAAAACTCTTTCTGGCCGTCTTTGCAGGGGTTTTTAAACTACTTCTTATAAAAAAATCTTGTGAATAAAACCAATTTATATTAAAAAAATTCTGAGGGCAGGTGACTATTTATGCTCATTTTTTTGTTTGTCGTTTGCGTCACTATTTCCTACATTAAAAAACAAAAATTAACATTGTAAATATACATTTATTAAAAAAATACTAATTAAGATTATATAAAATTCTGTACAACATTTACATTATGAGGTAAATAAAAAATACATGAATCAATTTTAAAATTGAAAAAATTCCCTGTCTTTCGGGAAAAACGTAACTCGGTTTTGGCACAAAAAAACGAAAAGTGGAAAGCACAACTTTAAAAGTGTTATTTAAGTTTTTTATTTTAATTTTTTTAAAAAACATCACTATTGTCGTTTATATTCACTTTTTATAAAAAGTAAATTTTGTTCATAGTTAGAGTTCAATTAAAACGAAAATATAATATGTTTTAGGGTGTCCATAGACCTGAAATGCATGCCGTCATAAAGCATACAAAACATCCACCCAGCAAAGCTCGAAAGACTAATCTGGTCAAATCTTCTCTTTTGTTGGGTATAAAAGCACCCAAAGTCGACAACATAATACCAACAGAACCAGGATTGGCAAATCCACAATTAGAATAAGTGGCTATAATCTTATTCTTGGGCTGAAACAAAGCAGTGACAGGTATTAAAAATCAAATATTTAAGTACTTACAGACAAGTCCATTTCACCCATTTTTTGAAAAGCAACAAATTCGTTGACGTTGTTTTTACCCCAATTAACCGTCCGACTTTTTCACACTCGTCCCATTGAACACCCATGGTGTATGTCAGTGGTATAAAAACCTTTCCTAAGATAATTTCAAGGGTCCAAAGTTCTCCTTCCTCCGTATAACCTACAGCTCTTTGGTAATTAAAAGAAAATGTATATACAATAACGTACCGACTAATGTTCCCAACCAAGATTAAACACCATTAATGAAGTAAATTGTGGCTATAAATTATATCAGATCGGCGATTACTCCAAGTATTATCATCGCAGCTTCTCCAGCACCTTTAACAGCTGCGTCCAACAAGGATTCATATTCCCTAAATATTGACCCTTTTAATTTCATCTTTATATTTTTATCTTTCTTATATTTTAATCTTTTTAACATTTTCTCTCTTAACGAGGACCTCCTCCACTTCAGGGTACATAAGTTTACTGTAGCACAAGGCAGCCGGCGCAGACATGACGCAAGAAGTGATAAGACGGGCCGGAGTCGCCCCGAAGGAAATATAAGCGGTCAAAACCGTCCCTGCATACAACAATCTTAAAAAACTCTCCAACAGAAAGACTTTTCTTAATTACCTGACACCGACGCAAAACCTGATGTCATGATGGAATGTATCTCCGAGTCTGTCATGTGGTCCAAATATGGTTTTATTAAAAAAATTATAAGTAAAATTTATTCATTCCAAAAAATTTCAAATCACCATTCCTAAGAAAATATTTGCGGCGCTGTTTTTCGCAAGTGAAAATTTATTACTTTGAAAAAAATTTGTTTTCTCACGTTGAAGGCAAAAATAGCCTGATTTAGCACCAAGTCGTTTCCATAAACGAAAGCCGAAGCGTTGGCAGCGTATTTGAGGAAAGTATCAACTTTGTCTCCTACGCAACTGAAGATGTTGCGTCCAACATCCCACCTGGTCGTGAGCAGACCCAGAATGAATTGAGCTATGAGACCTGATAATACAGTAGTCCATGGGATCTAATGTTATAGAAATTTAAGTTAGATTAAACACCAAGAGATTAAATTTAATTTTACTGTTTTACTGTTTTTGAAAGTATTGGATTGGAGCCTTGTTGCACTTAATTTTGGCAATATTCTCTATACACCGGGCACTCTTTTAGACGTTGTTCAACCACATAACTTGCAAACGTCGGGAAATACCGGGAAACAGTAGTATTGATAAGTACTATAAAGTTCCCATCATGTAACAAGATCAATAAAAGATACACATATCATGTAAAATGTTTACTGAGTAGAATGTAAAGTACTATATAATAAAGTACTTTACTAGATTGAGTGACGTGAACACAAATTAGAAAGGAACGTTTGTTGCATTATCTTTTGCGCTGGTAGGTCTTAAAGTTGTAAAGTTGTCAATGAACGATAAAATTTCATTTAAATATTTTTTGAGATTATTGACCAAAGGATTAAAAATTATTTATTACCATTACACGTAGTCTGTGATTATAATTTAATACGCTTTTTCACAGATAAAAAAATTCCCAGTGGTATTATCGAATTTATTGTTATTGTTATCAGTTTTTTGCGTGACGGATACAATCCTTTTTTATGCGACAATTAAAAAGAAAATTTTGGAGTCGTTTTGTACGAGCAATTCTAAATAAGTTGTCTTACAATAACCATACATGTCGAAATATCAAAGAAACCAGTGGACTGTTAACTACTCTGCTATCAAGGAATATATTTTGCATGAAATACCACCGCACTTCTCTAAAAAACCATAAACTCGACATATAGAATTTGATAACATTTTGGAGATTATCTGTGTAATAAAAACCGACACTGACGGCAGACAGATGGAAACGCGAGATCTACTTTTTCGTATTCTAGGGGTCATGAAACGTAGAGTAAACTGAAAGTAATCAACCAATTGTTCGATTGACCCTATTACAATATTTACAAAATGTTTATAAAATAAGTTTTAAAGTAAATTCATTAAAATATAAAATTTCTAAAAATCGTTGTAATGAATTTAAACTATATTGCTATGAGAAGACCAACATCTCGAATAAGATTATGTTTTATTTCTGACTCATAAATGATTTCATGGCGGCAAACAGTCCATTTCAAATTCTCTATTCCAACATTAAATCAATTGTATCGTGGCTTTCCATTTTGATTTTAATTCTCGATTTGTTGACACTGACATTTGTAAGGTTTATCGGCTCAATCGAGGAAATGAAAGATTTCCAAAGCCTACTCTAATCGGAAAATCTTCTGATCATTGGCTACTTGCTTTGTTTTAACTATATATATCTACATTTTATCATATGTACAATAATATTGAGAAACGCCAAAAGGGGCACCTTGGGTACTACATTCGAAAAGGAATTACTTTTAATCTCAAATGTCAAATATAAGTAAATTAGCAAGGAAGTACAACGACGAACAAGTGTCATAAAATCGGGATTAAATTTAAGTTTTGATAAGATTAAATTGTAAAATTTTAGGTTTAAATAATATCAAATATTAAATATATACTAATCTTGCTACCTTGGATTAGAAATGGAACAAAATTTTAGCTTACCTGTCGCTTATAAGGCGAAAGTAAAAATCCGATAATAACATAAATCACGAGTCCAGTCAAAGGCATCAATCTCCACCAGTCATCACTAGAGTCAACAATGAGGAAGACAAGAATAGCCACGAAAAGTAAAGCAAGAAATCCGGTGGTAGCATATCTAAAAAGCAATATTCGAAATGGGAAAGGCACAAAAATTATCGCTGCTTACGGTACTTTTTTGAACAAAGCGGCCACATGTACCGTTCTATAGGTGGAATGAGATACTTTTTTAGAACAAACTTATAAGCCACCCCGAAATTTATAAAGATGAAGACAATCATCCAAAATCCATAGCCAGTGCACGTGGTAGAATCAAGTGTAGACTCTACAAGAGCACGAAAAATGACAAAAAAGTACTATCCCTGTTAAAAATGCCCAATCAAATCCATTCTAAATTAATTTGGAGATCGCCCAATCTAACTTATATTGGGTGCGCCCAATATAAATTAGATTGGGTACGCCCAATCAAATCCAATCTGCGAATAATTCGCACGCCAATCGCACAAAGAAGGTAAAAAATGACCACCACAATGGTCACGTGGTACGCAAGCAAACATATTATCACTATTATAGCGAACAATAAACCTTTTTTAAAAAACAACCCTTTTACGCGGGTTTAAGTGTTAATATTATCCGACAGGAGTATATTTTTGGGAAAAAATTCTGTGTTGGACACGATAAGATTTATGACGAAAAGCATACTCAAAAAAATTGCATAAATATTGTCTGCGCATTAGCAACCCCCATAAGGGGGTCGACGGAGAACGTAACCAGCCACTTCAATGGGAACTCGTGAAGAAACACATAGACATAACGTAACCATTTTGCCTCCTACGGCAATGCCACTGACATAATGTGCGAAGGACGCTTTTCAATAAATGTGTGGGCCGATGTCGCTTGGATGAAACATGTATTTTATGAAAATCAACCGTGTCCAGAAACTATCAAAGAGCTTCCACGACGAGTGAAAGTGGCAGCCGCCAAAGTTGATGGAATTCCCGGTGTTTTTTTTAGGTCGTTTATGTTGCGACGTTCTGAAGCGTTTATTGCTAGTTACGGGCAACATTTTCGACATGTATTGGAAAGAGGTAGTAGCATTGTAAGTTGCTCTTATTTGTATTCTAATAAACAAAGTGGAATCGTTGTGACAAGGACCAAACTTCCGTCAGAATAAAAAGTCTATCACGATGAAGCATTATCAAAAATCGGTCCTTTTCAGGTCAACCATTTATTTCTATAACAAATAACCTTTCGCATTGACCTCTAACGATGAGTGAATGAATGATAACCAGCAAAAAGTTGGTTTTACCTTTAATTGAAACTGAAAGTGTTTACGTCGTTTTTATTTGAACGTTTTTCCAACCCTGTTTACGAGGTGGCTGAGTGTCTTCGTATCGAGGGTGGTTCACGGAGGTTTTGCCCCATTCGATTTTCAATTTGCTTTTTCTATATTTAGATATTACCAGGGTGGGGAATACCGTGTTTAAAATTATTGCATATACAGGGTTATTCAGCTAAGATGACCCATTTATGTTTTTCAAATAGGCAACCCAAAATCCCGATTCCACCTGAACCTGGATTACAAACAATGTTTCAAAATTGAATTGACTAATGACATTGTGAACGTCGTTTAAACGTAATTTTGACCCACGTCTGGTCAGGATCATTGCCGTAGAATACAAAACAGTTGTGTTATGCGTCTCTTCACGAGTTCTCATCGAAGTGAGTCAGTACGTTCTGCGTCAACCCTCATACAGGGGTTGCTAATTTATACAAAATATCTATATAACTTTTCATGTTTATGGTTATACATTTTATTGTGTCGAACACAGAATTTTTTTCCAATAGTATACTCCGGTGGTGCAGTATTAACCCTTAAAACCGCGTAAAAGGGTTGTTTTCTAAAAAAGTTTTATTATTCGTTAAAATGGTGATAATATGCTTGCTTGCGTACCAGATTACCACCCTGGTGGTTATTCTGTACCATCTGTGTGAGATGGGTGTGCGGATTATTCGCAGATTGTATTTGATTGGGCGACACTATGAACGTCGTTTAAACGCAATATTGAGCCAAGTCTGGTCAGGATCATTCCCGTATAATAAAAAATAATTATGTTATGTGTCCCTTTACGTTTTCTTATCAAAGTGGGTCGTTACGTTCAGCGTCAACCCCCTTACAGGGGTTGCTAATTTATACAAAATATTTATATAATTTTTTTAATCATGATTACAGTTATACATTTCATTGTGTCGAACACAGAATTTTTTCCCAACAATATACTCCGATTGTACAGTATTAACACTTAAAACCGCGTAAAAGGGTTGTTTTGTAAAAAAGTTTTATTGTTCGTTAAGATGGTGATAATATGTTTGCTTGGGTACCATATCACCGTTCTGGTGGTCATTGTGTACCTTCTTTGGACGATTGGCGTCCGGATTATTCGCCGATTGGATTTGATTGGGCGAGATTGGTTCAGATTGTATTTGATTGGGCGAGATTGGGCGACACTGTGAACATCGTTTAAATGCAATTTTGAGCTACGTCTGGTCAGGATCTTTGCCACAGAATAAAAAACAGTTGTGTTATGTGCTCCTTTAAGCGTTTTCATCAAAGTGGGTCGTTACGTTCCGCGTCAACCCTCTTACAGGGGTTGCTAATTTAAATAAAATATTTATATAACTTTTTTGATCATGATTACAGTTATACATTTCATTGTGTGGAACACAGAATTTTTTCCCAACAATATATTCCGATTGTACAGTATTAACACTTAAAACCGCGCAAAAGGGTTGTTTTTTACAAAAGTTTTATTGTTCGCTATAATAGTGATAATATGTTTGCTTGCGTACCACGTGACCATTGTGGTGGTCATTTTTTACCTTCTTTTTGCGATTGGCGTGCGAATTATTTGCAGATTGGATTTGATTGGGCGCCCCCAATTTGGGATTGTATTTGATGATTCTACGACAACTGGTCGCAAACAATTGATCGCGCGACAATTGATCGCGCGACAATTGATCGCAAGCAACTCGTCGCAGCACAATTGGTCGCACGCGACAATTGATCGCGGCGACAATTGATCGCAGCGACAATTGATTGCACGTAAATTGATCGCAGCGACAATAGATCGTACGTAAATTTATCGCAGCGTCAATTGATCGCAAGGTAAAATTCATCGGGAACTATTTTCTTTTATTAAAACTAAATATTTTGTATTCTGAATTTAAAGTTGCAATAAATTTAGCAACCAGGTAAGGTGTAAATATCGAATTAAAAACAATTTGAATATAGATAAGTGACGAAGTTTGTAGTTGCACTTTAAAAATTAAAAAATACGAGCGTAAACACCTTGTTACATAAGATTTTTTATTAATAAATTGTCATTTTGGTTATTTTTTTTTAAGAGATTGTTTCTATTTATCTCGTTTCTTATTTTACCTATTATATTATAGGAACTAGCTTCATTATAATAAGTACTCAACATAAAAACAAGTGTTTATTGTTCTTAACTAGATTACAGTTATTTAAAAAATCATATTTTTAACAACCTTTAAATTTTAACACATTTTGATACAGAATAATAATAGTACATCTAGAGTATCCATATGCAGCGAATATAAATTCCACTGGACGGATATATAATACTTATTTTAATACCTTGTAAATTGCAACGGATCTTTTACAGGGTTTGAGAAAGGTTTACGTGTATTGTAAATATGTATATATTGCAAAAACTTTTGTTAGAGCGTCAAGAATAATTTTGTGTTACCGGGAAATCTAAGAAATGTAGGTACTTATGCAACTAAAAACTTATTTTTTAATTATTATTATGTGACTAGTATTGTACTGAAGAAAAATTCAGTTGTACCATATGTGGGTGTAAAAAATACATATACAGGGTTAGTCACGAGAAAATTATTTCTGAAAATTATTTTTACGCAACCCAAAATACGAATACCATGTACCACTTGATACTAACAGAATTTAAAATGAAATGCTTAATTCATGATTGCTTTGAGTTTGGCAATGTCATTTTGACAATTCTGGAAAAGGAGGTTACGCGAGTGTCCATGGTGGTACCGCAGCCAATTGGAGATCTCCGCTGGCGCCGCTAATAAGTTTGTCAGGGCTTGCTTCGAGTGCCTCTTGATCTTTTGCAACCGATTAATGACGAGAAAATTATTTCTAAAAATTCCTTTTACGCAGCAAATTTATTAAAAAATATAGGTATATATTTAATTTTTTAAACTAACAAACGTAATGAAAATAATACTTTTTCACTTAAAACTGTAACGAGAGTTTTTTCACGATTTATCTATAACTTTTTAATTTGACAGTTGTAATAATTTTAAAACCATTTTTTATTAAAGAAAAATGACGTCTAACACGTTTTGAAAGCTATTTTTTTCACTCGTTTAATTGACAAACTTTAAACTTGTGAGAAGAAAAGCTTGAATCACTTACTTGAGCGTCTAATCAATAAGACGAATAATCCAAATGAACATTACAGTAGCATACCGAGAGATGTGTCAGCATTAAAAAAAATATTTTACAATATTTTCACTTTTTTGCACTTTGGTTTAGTCGGAAATGAGCCTAATAGTTACCGTTTTTATGGAACTCGTATGTATTTATTTTAACACTTTTTTTAGAAATAATGAAATTTTTGAGAATATAGCACATTAATTTATTTTCCTCATTCTTAACAATTACTTATTTCTCTATAAACGCTATCATTTTTCGCCTGCGATCAATTGTCGCATGCGACCAGTTGTACTTGCGACAAATTGTGTTGCGATCAATTGTGACTGCGACCAGTTGTCGTTGCGACCAGTTGTCGCTGCGACCAATTGACGCTGCGATCAGTTGTTTGCGATCAATTGTCGCGCGACGAATTGTGCACGACGAATTGACGCGGTACCGTATTTGATTGGGCCAGATTGGGCGACACTGTGACCGTCGTTTAAACGTAATATTGAGGCACCTACGGTCCGTATCGTTGCCGTAGGATGCAAAATGGTTGCGTAATGTGTTTCTTTACGACTTCTCATCGAAGTGGGTGGTTACGTTCTCCGTCGACCCCCTTATGGGGGTTGCTAATACGCAGAAAATATTTATGCATTTTTTTTGAGTATGCTTATCGTCATAAATCCTATCGTGCCGAACACAGAATTTTTTCCCAAAAATATACTCCTGTCGGATAATATTAACACTTAAACCCGCGTGAAAGGGTTGTTTTTTAAAAAAGTTTTATTGTTCGCTATAATAGTGATAATATGTTTGCTTGCATACCACGTGACCATTGTGGTGGTCATTTTTTACCTTCTTTGTGCGATTGGCGTGCGAATTATTCGCAGATTGGATTTGATTGGGCGCCCCCAATTAGGGATTGTATTTGATTGGGCCAGATTGGGCGACACTGTGACCGTCGTTTAAACGTAATATTGAGGCACCTACGGTCCGTATCGTTGCCATAGGATGCAAAATGGTTGCGTAATGTGTTTCTTTACGACTTCTCATCGAAGTGGGTGGTTACGTTCTCCGTCAACCCCTTATGGGGGTTGCTAATACGCAGAACATATTTATGCAATTTTTTTGAATATGCATATAGATGTATATTCTTGTGATCGATTCAGAATTCTTTCGAGCCTTGTTCTCGGGTAATAAAATGTTAACAACTTATACAATTCGTGAAGGGGGTGCTTTTTTCAAATAATTTTATTTTTCGTTATAATCGTTTCAATAAGCGTTTTATTTCCATAATAATTAATTTTCTTTTACGGCATTTTATTGTAAATGATAACTCAAAGCCATTTTGGGAATCTAAAAGAAAGCAACAAAATTATTTATATTAGGAACATCAATGTTAGTGATAAAATAAAATAAAATGTTCCATTTGCACGTTCTAGCACACTCCAAACCTAAATTGTATTTATTACATCACATTTTGCTTTTTAGATGTTTTTATTGGTAATACACAATTATTTCCAATTTTCACAATCAAATCCAATCAAAGCCCTTAATTGTGTTTGCCCAATCAAATCCAATATAAGTTCAAATTGGATCCCAATTAACCCAATCAAACACAATCTGGTTCAATCTAACTTAGATTGGGTTATATTGGATTTGATTGGGCATTTTTAACAGGGATACTTGATCTGCACCTGTTTTTTCTATAAAGTACCATGTTGCCCAAATAAAATGAGCATAAATCGCTGCCAAAACGGCTGAACCGATAGTCCAGTTAATGAGTTTTCTGTATTTTGATGGTGGTTTTTCTTTTTTGTGTGTAGGAGGGTACACTGAGATAGCCAAGTTGTCAGTATATCGATTCTATAAGACAAAATATTTTATGCTGAAATAGGTTTCAGAAAGGTACTTACGGCGTTATCGATATTTTCAGTCGAAATATGAGGACTTGTTTTCTCAGGCATTGTAACAAAACTAAGTAAAATTGAATTACTGACCTAGAATGCAGTGGCAGTAAAACTGTCATAAAAGAGGTAGTGACTACAATTGAGGATTAGCTAGGTACGAATGAGTTGCTTGACTAAACTTGATTAAGATGTACCTTAAAAGTAATTTCAACAAAAAAATTATTGCAACTAAATATCTAAAATGAAAAGAAATCTACTTAGTTAAGCTGTCTCTGGAATTAATACGAAAAATTATGGTGAATAATTTAATACTTTAATACAAAAACACACTTTCCTACAAGGAAAATTTACAAACAAAAAACCTTAATCTGTGAAATAGTGTAGAGGGACTTTGTTTCGTCTTTAATATGCAATTTATTGTTTGTTATTTATTTAAGATTTTTTTTCATTTCTTGCGTAGAAAAATATGTAAGTTTTGAGTAATGATAACGTAACCGCTTTCCTAGAATTGCCGAGAAATTATATGATTCGTTTCCCAAATTAAAATTGTTATTTAGTAGATACTCTGTATTCCCGACGTTTCGTGACCCATAGTGTATGATAAAAATGGTCTTTCGTTTCCGGCTGTCTGTCCTCTGTCTGTGTCGATTTTTATTTGGCACGATTGTTGTCAAATTTTGCATTTGTATTAGGAATCTTGGCCATCGTAAAACCCTAACCAAAATTTGTGATGACGTCCGCTCATTTTAATGCATGATTAACATTACCAAAATTGTATGAAATAATACACTCCCGTAGGTACCTGTGGTGTATGAATCTTGTTAAACTTTCCTTGTATTTCAAGTCAGACAATGTTAAGATTTCTTTGGGTTTCTTTATTGAACAAAAAGGCGCCTTGTAACTAAAGAAACATCCCTGACAATTCACATACTAATGTTAAAATGACGGACCCTCACAGACTTTGCTTTCAATACCTTCAATAAATATCAAGACTACACCGCCATTTTGATTACTCATTTCTGTCTAGTCCTCTCACTCACCTACAAACATACTAACCACTAGATGTATAAAATAATTAATTTCAACACTCCTCCTTAATTATTTTAGAACAAAGTGATTCAAACAATTTTCTTGGGAGAGATTTTGTAAATATATCAGCAAGTTGGTTACCACTATCAACATGTTTGAATGTGACGGTCTTGTCAACATGTTCTTGAATGAACCTCCGTGGGATTTCTATATGCTTCTTTCCTTTTGTAGTTTTACATTCATGAGCGTTGTACATCATACGAATTGCCGCTTGATTATCGATAAATAATTCGATGGGTTTACCTTCCTTTACAATTTCAAGTTCCAGACAAATTCTTTTGATCCAACAAACATCGTCAATTGCAGACAAGGCTGCTCGGTACTCTGCTTCAGCAGTGGATGTTGCTACCAAACGTTGTTTCTGTGTGTACTAAACGATTGGTCCTTCTCTCATCACAAGTACTCCCGTAGTTGAATGTTTAGTCTCAGGATCTCCACCATAGTCGGAATCCGAGTATTAAGCAACGAGTGTGTCGCTTCCGTCAGAGATACCATGATTTGGTGTTCCTTTGAGATATTGAAAAATCCTTTTTACCATTCGCTAGTGACTGATCATTGCCTTTCCGTTAAAGCGACTTAGAAAGTCTCCTGTTACCATGCCTTTCTCAATGGGAGTTGACTTTGCATTGCACGTATCGAATTTAAAGCGTCGAATGGTCTTCTCTGTATACTTTGGTTGACCTACAAAGATGCCTTCTTTGTCAATGTGAATTTCCATTCCGAGGTATGCGACCTTGTTTTGAACTTAACGGCTGTATGTGATATCGAATTTTGAGTTGATGATGTCGAGTATCTTGTAGATTTCCTTTTCATCATAGCCAGCGATAAGTCCGTCGTCGACGAACAAAGTTATTAGGATAGTCTTATCCTTATTATAATACAAACAGGGATCATCATCGGTGTTCATTAATCCTATTTTCTTCTCAAGAAATTTTGAAATCGTATCATGCCAGTTCCTCGGAGCCTGTTTCAGTCCATATAATCCTTTCTGTAATTTGCAGACATAGTTGGTGCCATCTTCAAATCCTTCCGGTTGATGCATGTAAATTTCCTCCTCCAGGTTACCATATAGGAAAGCTGTCTTGACATCAAAGGGAACAAGTTTCATCTTCTGGGTAGCTGCATGACTCAGCATAAGACGAACTGAAGTATGACGAGCTACTGGACTGAACGTTTCCGTATAATCAATCCCTTCTTCTTGTTCAAAACCGCGTGCTACCAAACGTGCTTTCAATCTTCCATCTGCCTTCTCACGTAACACTCATCTGCATGTCAACGGTTGAACTTCTTCGGGGCATTTCACAAGTCTCCAAGTTTTCATTTGTGTCAAAGAATTAAGTTCTTCTTGCATCGCACGTTTCCATCGTATTTCAGTGCCCCATTGACAGTGATATCCTGGATTTCTCCTATCAAAGCTACATTTTCACTTCTGTTCGGTGTGAAATCGTCGAGTACATAATCTTTCAGTCGGTGTGGCATTGTTATCGATCACGAAGTCCTCGCCTTGTCTGAGGTGTTGTCTCTTCATCTTCATCTTCAGTAATTTTTCCTTCAAGATTTTCTTGTTCTTGATCTTCATCCTTCAGACTTGTATCAGACTCGCATTCTTCATCTTCATGACCTAGATCAGTCTTTTCAGATATTATTGGCACACATCCTATAATGTCTCGGTATCTCGTTTTCTCTTCATCAAAAATCACATTGTCAGAGCAAATGACTTCTCTGTCTCCAGGTATGTATATTCGATAGCTTGATGACTCGGTGTCATATCCAACAAAGATTCCCTTCCTAGACTTCTTGTCGAGTTTTTTCCTTCTATGGTCAGTTTTCAGAACGTAGCAGTCATCACATCCGAAACTCCTCAGTTTGTTGATATCAATACGACGACCGAACCATAAGTCTGGTGGACTCTTGGCGTTGACTGAGCTGGTGCCAGTCTGATTCAAGGTGAACACGACGTAGTTGACAGCTTCTGCCCATAGATTTTCTTTCAAATTTCGCGCATGTATGACCTACCTCGCAGATTCCACCACGGTTCACATTTCCCTTTCAACTCTGCCATTCTATTGTGGGGTGTGAACGTTTGAGAACGTATGCCTGATTCCTCGCTATTCCAAAAGTTGACATGTGGTTTTGTTCTTTATTTCAGTTCCATGATCCGATCTCAGTTCTTTCACCTTCCTTCCAAATTGATTTTCAACTTGTGTCAGAAATATCTTCAGCTTGTCTGGAGCTTCATCTTTCGACTTCAGATAGTAAACGGTTCGAAAGTGCGAATAATCATCTTTAAAGATCAGGAAATACTTCGTTCCTCCGATCGACGTGACATTCATTTCCCCAAGATCTACATGAACTAGATCCAATGATTGAGCTGCTACCTTCTCATTTTTGGGATGTGAAATTCGATGTTGTTTCCCATAAATGCATCCTTCACAGACTCGATTGTTCCAGTCATCTATGTACTTGATGTTATTCCTGTCTAGGATGTCCTTGACGTACTTCAGGTTGTGATGTGCAAGTCTCTCATGCCAGGTGCCAATTGAAGTTGCAATTAGGCTGGTGTTTATTTTGCAATGACGTTTTTACGTTATGCTGCTGACAAATGACGGTTTCGTTGGGCAGGACTCGACTGAAGGCGACTTGGTTGTTTCCTACTGGACTACACTCTGCTGAGTTCGACAACGTTTCTGACACTCAAGACTTGACAACAACAAAAAGGCGCTTTGTAACTAAAGAAACATCCCTGACAATTCACATAGTAATATTAAAATGACGGACCCTCACAGACTTTGCTTTCAATTCCTTCAATAAATATCAAGACTACACCGCCATTTTGATTACTCATTTCTGTCTGGTCCTCTCACTCACCTACAAACATACTAACCACTGTATATATAAAATAATTAATTTCAACAAATCTGCCTTGATCTTGTTTATCATTATGAGTTTTGTTTATTTTTTAATCCGCCCTCTTCTTCAGACACATAGTAAGCAATCGTTTACAGATAGCGTGGCTCAGTTTGTAAACCACCCATCTCGCAATCTAAGGTCCAGCGTTGGAAGGTGATGGGCGTTTTTTTTTCATTAGATGGAATAATTTAAAAAAAAAATTGATGTATCCCACTGTCGAAGTATCGCCACTTTCCCCTACTTTAAACTGACATTATCTCAAAATTTTGTTAGCTAAATTCTAAGTTGCTCTGTGACGGGCCGTTATAGTCAGTTCATGAGAAAATCACAAGAAGACAAAAAATAAATCACTAAAATATAAAAACATATCTTATCCATATGCATGTCCAAATCTGCTGGCGAGGCAGCCTCGGGTTTGGCCTTGTGATGGAAAAGAAGCCATTTTTTAACGCGAGCCCATTGGTTCTGACTCTCCAGGCGCCCAAGTACAACCTCTGCATCCACCGATAGTCCCGATATCCACAGGGTCGTCCTCACCAACCTTGGTATCCCACAAGGGTGTTAGAGAGCTCACTGTTTGGTTTAGCCATTCCAGAGACACCTCGTCTTCTTAGGTTATCCTTAGAATTTCCCCTGTGTACTTGATACCCCTGAAAGTGGCTGCTTGTCTTCCCGATGCCAGGCACTGTTCAAGTTGTCTGTCCAGTGCTCCCATTAGGCCATTTTGTACCATCTCCACCTGGTTAGCAGTCAGCATACCAAGTGGATGCTGTACATTAATCACAGCTACACGGAGATGACTTGCAGCTACCTCCCTGTACCTATGTTCTTTAGAGGTGGTTTCCTGCCTCCTCATCCTCTTTTGCTTTTGCGCTACCGGAGGTGTGGAGGTTGAAGACAGCACTCTCTTTTTCCCCCCGGGTCGTTTAGGGTTGGTTATTGTAGTCTGCCCTTTGCCCTTGGGGTTCATTTCGGTTTATCCTCCTCCACTTGCAAACGAGCCTTTCTTCGCCTCTGTACCTCAGTCCCCTACATTCGCTTCCTTCTAGGAGGTGGCTGGGTTTTCAATTTCAGGTGCACCCGCAGGCACTTCGTCAGTGGGTTTAGTTGTTTTATTATCCATAACTTGGATTTTGATTTCATCCTTCTGTGTCCCTGCCCACAACGGAATCTAACAGGGGGACATCGAACTTCGACGCCAGGGCTAGCAGAAGGATATAGCCCCCAGGGAAGCTCATCCTGCAGTACGCAGCCTCAACAAATGAGGCTACTCGTGCCCAGACTACAATTCTCCCCAGGACTCCCCTGTCGGCGATCTCATCCGACGACGCAGCCGATTGATCTGAGATGGGTTAGTTTCGACCTCCCGTTTTGGTAGAAATCCAGGCCAAAGAGGCGTGTTACCCAGCCATGGGGATCACACTGCACCAAGGGCGGCTCAAGCCCCAGGATTCCTTCATCCCACCTTACGGGTCTCCACGCACGGTACAAACAAGTGGAAGCTTGTCCGCGGGACTGTTTTGACGACCCCACGCTAGGGGTTTATTCCAGCTCGCTTTTACTGAACCGCCTTCGTGGTCGTATAAGTCGGCAACCACCAAGGCAACACTTTTTGTCTTGGTTATCACAAATGATTACATACAAACCACAAACTGTTGAAAAATATGTGGAGAGCTACTTATCTACAGATTTCTTGAATCACTAGTGCAAATTGCATCTTCGGACAATCTGATGGTCTTTAAGAAACTTTATACTTAAAAGCGGATTGGAAAACTAATGTTGCCAACCAAAATAGAACCCAAACCTGTGCAATACTCCACTCCAAAGATGCACCCTCGAGGAGAGGTTTTTATCAGAAAACTCTTTCTGACCGTCTTTGTCAGGGTATTTAAACTACTTTTTATAAAAAAAATCTTGTGAAATACATCCAAGCTATATTAAAAAACTTCTGAGGGCAGGTGACTTACCATCTAAACTATTTAGACCCATTTTTTCGTTTGTCGTTTGTGCCACTATTTCCTACATTAAAGAAAAATATTGTAAATATGTATTTATTAAAAAAATACTAATTAAGATTATATAAAATTCTGTACAACATTTACATAACAAGATAAATAAAAAATACAACAATAAATTTTAATAAAATATAAAAACTTCCGTTTTTCGGGAAAACCATACCTCGGCTTTCGCACAAAAAAAAATAAAAGTGGAAAGCACAGATTTGAAAGTGTTCTTTAAGATTTTTATTTTAAGTTTTTTAAAAAACCACTATTGTCGTTTATAATCACTTTTCATAAAAAGTAATTTTTGTTCATAGTTAGGGTTCAATTAAAGCGAAAATATAATAGGTTTTAGGGTGTTAATAGACCTGCAATGCATGCCGTCATAAAGCATACAAAACATCCACCCAGAAAAGCTCGAAAGACTAATCTGGTCAAATTTTCTCTTTTGTTGGGCATAAAAGCACCCAAAGTCGATAACATAATACCAACAGAACCAGGATTGGCAAATCCACAAATAGAATAAGTGGCTATGATCTTACTCTTAGGCTGAAACAAAGCAGTGACAGGTATTAAAAATCAAATATTTAAGAACTTACAGACAAGTCCATTTCACCCATTTTTTGAAAAGCAACAAATTCGTTGACGATGGTTTTCACCCCAATCAACTGTCCGACTTTTTCACACTCGTCCCATTGAACACCCATGGTGTATGTCAGTGGTATAAAAACCTTTCCTAAGATAATTTCAAGGGTCCAAAGTTCTCCTTCCTCCGTATAACCTATAGCTCTTTGGTAATTAAAAAAAAAAAATTATATACGATAACGTACCGACTAATGTTCCCAACCAAGATAAAACACCATTAATGAAGTAAATTGTGGCTATAAATGATATCAGATTGGCGATTATTCCAAGTACTATCATCGCAGCTTCTCCAGCACCTTTAACAGCTGCATCCAACAAGGATTCATATTCCCTAAATATTGACCCTTTTAATTTCATCTTTATATTTTTATCTTGCTTACATTTTAATCTTTTTAACATTTTCTCTCTTGACGAGCACTTCCTCCACTTCAGGGTACATAAGTTTACTGTAGCACAAAGCAGCCGGTGCAGACATGACGCAAGAGGTGATAAGATGGGCCGGACTCGCCCCGAAGGAAATATAAGCGGCCAAAACCGTCCCTATATACAAAAACCTTAAAAAATTCTCCAACAGAAAGACTTTTCTTAATTACCTGAAACCGACGCAAAACCTGATGTCATGATGGAATGTATCTCCGAGTCTGTCATGTGGTCCAAATACGGTTTTAGTAAAAACGGCGATTCGCTCTAGAATCACGAAAGTAAAATTTATTCATTCCAAAAAATTTCAAATCACCATTCCTAAGAAAATATTTGCAGCGCTGTTCACGCTTTCGCAGATCGGTGTTCCTAAAAGCCACTGAAGGAAGATTCCTAGGTTAAGAATGATACTTTGCATTATTCCGTAGTAGTACAAGATGTTTATGGCAAAACTCATTAGGTAGATGGCAGCAAGAGACTAAAATTTTTCTCAGATGGAAATTCATTACTTTTAAAAAGTATGTTTTTCTTACATTGAAGGCAAAAATACCCTGCTCCAGCACCAAGTTTTCTCCATAAACGAAAGCCGAAGCGTTGACGGCATAGTTGAGGAAAGTGTCAATTTTGTCTCCTACACAGCTGAAGATGTTGCGTCCAACGTCCCATCTGATCATGAGGAGACCCAGAATGAATTGAGCTATGAGACCAGATAATACAGTAGTCCATGGAATCTAGCGTTATAAAAGATATAGTTAACATTAATAATAACAATCGAGGCAACGATTATGTACCGCAACGTCACGAACTAATAATTATAATTATTCTTATTATCTTGTATTAATTATTATTTTTCTTTCTAAGAGTCGTGGCACTGTGTTATTAGTGCATTGAAGAGACCTTGCATGTTGTTATCTTATCTCTACAATGAAAACTGCAGTGACAAGCAGACGTAAATTATTATATTTTAACACCACAACGTATGGGTATATGTATTTTACACATAATAATAATCATATTTTTTGTTAATTGTGAAATAACAATTAAATTTTCTTTTCCTTGTTCCATTCTAAGCTTATAAAAGAATTAAAGTATCGAAATAAGAAAAATTGATCGAAGGCGTGACTATTTAAATAGGAACGACCATCGGGAGCGGACAGTCTAGTCAAATCCATTCCAGTCGATTAATGAGTACAAGTTAACTTTAGTTATAAATCAACGCTGTATATTTGTATTATCGAGAAATAAAGTACATATGATGTAAGAACTTATCGCTGGATAAGAGCAATTGGCAACGGTTGCGTTATCTTTTCCGTCAGTATGGTCCAAAGTTATGTAAAGTTGTCAATGAACGATAAAATTTTAATTTAAATTACAAACCCATTGTATACCTTATATTTTGTATGAAATTTGTTAAGATTTAATATTTGAAAAGAATTACCCTATATGACAGTTCAAGGTAGGATTTACTTAAATATTCTGACATAACGTCATCAGTTTATTGCATTCTATGAAAGACACATCTTTAGCTCTGAAAATTATCATAAGTATTTGTCTAAGAAAATTATGGTCAATCAGACGAAACCCAACATTTTGTAAGCTGTGAAGGAACAAAAAGTGTCGAAGTAATTCGTTAAGAGCCAATTTCGAAAAACACGATTTATTTTCAGTCTCCTGAGATAATACAATTAAGAGATATAAAGAATTATTAGTAAGTTGTTGTACTTGGTGATAATGACAATACTTGCTTTGTTTTAGCTACGCAGATTTTATCGTCCAATGATAGCAAGAAACGCGAAATGCCACAAATTGGGATCAACATTCCAACTAGAGTTAATTTAATCTCGTTTTCTAATGTAATGAGTACCATAAACTGTTGGATTTTAGTTTGTTTGTCAGCTAGAATTACATTGTTTTTTCCTTGCTAATTATTCTTATCGCCTGCGTTGTGTTTAAATTATAATTTTGATAAGATGAAATTATACAATTTGATGTTTAAATAACATCATCCAAATGAGTCAAATTATTACCTTCAATTATAACTAAAAAAAAATTAGTTACCTGTCGTTTATTGGGAGAAAGTAAAAATCCAAAAGCAACATAAATCACGAGTCCAGTCAACGGCATCAATCTCCACCAATCATCACTTGTATCAACAATGAGGAACACAAGAATAGCCACTAAAATTAAGCCAAGAAATCCGAGGGTGGCGTATCTAAAAGATACTAATCGAAGTGAAAAAAGCACAAAAATCGTCGTTACTTACGGTACTTTTTTGAAAAGAGCGGCACAAGGTTTCCACACGTATCGCTCTATAGGCGGAATGCAGTACTTCTTCAGGACAAACTTATAAGCAACCCCGAAATTTATAAAAATGAAGAGGATCATCCAAAATCCATAGCCAGTGCACGTGGTAGAATCCAGTGTACCCTCTACAAGAGCACGAAAAATTACAAAAATAAAAGTGCCACACTTGAGCTGCACCTGTCTTCTCGATAAAGTACCACGTTGCCCAAATAAAATGAGCATATATTGCTGCCAAAACGGCTGAAGCGATCGTCCAGTTGATGATTTTTCTATATTTTGATGGAGGTTTTGCATTTTTGGGTGTAGGGACGTAGACTGGGACGGCCAAGTCGTCACTACTTCCGTTCTAAAAAACTGCATATTTTACGCTCAAACAGGTTTCAAAAAGGTACTTACGGCATTAATGATATTTTCAGTCGAAGCATGGGGACCTGTTTTCTCAGACATTGTAACAAAAAGCTTTGTAACTTTGTAATCACAGAGCTAACTAGTAAATATATTCGCGATTAGTGTTTCAACATTTCGTAGAACAATGTGGTTGTTCACGGTAGTACCCTTCCGAATTCTACATTTATCACAATGAATGCGTATTCTTTTTAAAGATATCGATAAGGAGTGATAATCGACGCACAAATAACAATGATTAAGGACTCAGAGATTTTAAGAATAGTGATTTTTTTTTCAAACAAAATTTTTAGTTTCACAGTCATTTCTAATCTGGCGAATAACGAACACTCGAATTCGTCTACTTTCGGAAGTTTAGGTCGTAGACGTGTCAGGTAACCGTGTCACCTTTTATTTGTCGTTCACTAAACAATTTACTATTTTCTTATCATTGTTGCGTGAATTTATTATTGCACCAAATACGTAGCATGTGTACGTACCTGTTATTGACACTATTATGTTTTGCCAAGAGACTTTAACAGAAACTGGTATTCTTATTAGGGTTTCCCCACTTACCAATAAGTGATTTTGATTGGTGCTTCACCTGTTGTGATTACTGTGCAGTGTTGATGTTTTGCGGACAATTAAGTCTGTGTCAAGGGCAAGTCTGTACGGTACGGATATACTAAGAAGACGTTTATGAAGTATGAAGTCAAACATTAGAAGTAATTGCTCTGCAGTTATATAACTTCCTAAATTATTGTCATTAAAAAAAAAATTCCAACACTTTATTGAATAACCACAATTTGTTGCGACATAAGATTATTGACAGTGACTCAGTGGTACTTGTGTGGACATAGGAGAGCGGGATTTACGGTGAAAATCTGGAAGTTTATTGTACGACGTAAACTACTGCCGTCAGCAACTACACCTACCTACTTTAAAGAGAAAATCGTGTCAGGTCTGACGTACAAAAATCCCAAATTGCAATTATGCAAGAGTGCCTCTTACTGAATGCGAAATACTTTAAGTTTACTGTACCTACGTACTTTTGTTGTCATAGTAGCTTAACGTCCGACAGTTTCATTTTGCTACACTTTTTTTTTGTCAGAACTCGGTGTTATAAAACACATTCAAGTGATCGTGAAATTCAATTTTTTATATAACTTTCTTAACACTACTAAATTTGTCCAGTTCGAGCCTACAATCGGAGTTACCCACCTGTGTTTGAATTTACATATTGGCGATCAACATAATTTGTTATCAAGTCATCCTTGGAGAGGATTTAGCATGTCGGTGATGAAACCACACCGATAAGTAAATGTCAAAAAAAGACAAATGCAAAAGCAAAAATGGCGACAGTTTTTAATAAGATTTTTAATAAAATAAGTGTGTTACAAGGAAAAAATTGGTACAAGATTAATTTTATTAAATAAAATAAATTAAAGTAAATACTGAAAATGTTCCACATTTTGTTATAAGCGTAAATAAGGTCTTCCTTGAATCCCATCGATCACATGCTTCAACATCTCTGAATTATTGTATTGTCAGCCTGAAAGAAAAGTACGAAGGAGTAAGATCACAAGATCTCGGGAACAATCTTCTTAGATGCAGATATCGCATGCCGAGCCCAAGCGGTTCTCCTTTTTTTTCTTAAACTTGTCCATTTGAAAATCAATTCACAATTTTATTATTTTCTACTCTGTGTTAAATTTCCCTATTCACACTACTCTGATCTTACTCTTACTTATTTGGAATTAAGCTGTCTGTTCGATGAACTTTCAGAACCCGATGATATCTAACTATTATGTACAGGGTATGATAAAGTAATGCGCAAAATTCATAAAAAGCGCAGCAATTGTTTTTGAAAAAAAAATGAATAAATATGTCAAGCCTTTCATTTTACTTTCCATCTTTTGACATACGTGCATACGTCAAAAAAGTTTGTAAAAGTGATTTTTTTGTTTGAGACGATATAATTTTGATTGGATTATTTGATAAATCTTACTTTTCTACATATGATTTATGAAGCAGGGGTTGCATAACAAAAAATGGAGAAAATTAATAACAAACGAAATAAACATGATATCAACATGAAACAAAATAAAATCTAAATAACTAAAGATTAAAACAAAAAGCTGTCAAAGAGAATCGCTTTTGTCAGTTTCTTAAGTTCCAAGATGTGGAAGACCACGAATAAACGATAACACCAAAGTAGTATATGAGGGCAATTAGTGCATTCCCTAATTACCCGCCATGCCACTAATTTGCCGCCCTGGTCTGGTGGCAAATTAGAGACATGGCGGGTAATTAGTGGCATGGCGGGTAATTAGGGAATGCACTAATTGCCCTCATATACTACTCACCAAGTTTAATCTCTTGTTATCATTGGAAGACAGCCCCTACGTAACAATGCCGAAAATGACTTTAAAAGAGAATGTTAGCCAGTCGTTTGTGGTAACGTTGTTAAAAAAAGAGAAAGTGCATCTATGTAAATTTTAACTCATCCATGAACTATCAGAAGATGATCCTGACAGACGACTGGAATTTGTGAAAACTTATTCGTGAGACATTGTGATGACAATCCCAATTTTTTAAATAGTGTCGTGTTTTCGGAGGAACCAACATTTTATTTAAATGGTACCGTAAATCAACACAGTTGTCATTACTGGTTCGACAACAACGTCATTGGATTCAAGCAGCACACACCCAACGTCCCCAAAAAGTTAATGTTTGGTTGGAATAATAAACTGAAGACTCATTGGCCCCTAATTTCCCGATCTAACTGATACGTTTCCTGATCCAGATAATCCATAAAATTTAGATCGCAGGATTTGGTTCCAACAGGATGGAAAACCACCACATTATGGCGTAAATGTATCAATTTGATGGAAAGTGGATTGGAAGGCGTGGACTGATAGAATGGTCACCTAGATCTTCGGATCTGATACCCCTTGATTTTTTTATAGGAACATTTAAAAAGTTGTGTTTACATGAATAGACCCGATAATTTAGACGACTTGAAAGCACGAATCATCGTCTGGGTTACATCTGCTACATAGGTTACATGTTGTTTAACATGATGGGTTACTACATCATGTTAGACTACATTTTGAAGTAAACATTTATACCCAGTATTTTTTCGTAGAGATAAATGTTGGTATACAAACGTAACATATGAGTGTCTTGTGCGTAACACTGTCAATGTTTCTCTGCCTTCCTTTTCTTCCTTTTTCTGCAATGAGAATCATTCCGTGGATATATAACAGTTTTCTGGTTGTTATATATTTAACACATTCGCTGCCAAGCGATTTATTTTTAACTTCTTCACCAAGTCAGCGCTAATTTGTAAAGCGGACACCGGTGTCTGCCGTGGCGTACACGGGAAGAAGATGTCATATTCATTTTCTAGCGCCAAAGAAGACCCATTCAGCGGACACATTTGAAGTTTTTACCACGACTTGGCGAACACTTAGGCGGACACCAGTATGTCAGCGGACACAACTTGTATATGTATTTGAAAATATTTTTCGTAATTTCTTATTATATGTGCAAAAATAATTTAAATTGTGTCCGCTCTGGCATCCTGCAGTAAGCAAGAAACTGAAACATTCACGCCAAGGCGGACCAATGTGGCGGACACGCCACGTAACTAAGCAATAGTGGTTCCTATTAGCAAACCACATACGGCAGATTACGCACGAGCGCTGCGCTGGGGGCAAACACATTGTCAACCTACAACGCTTGATTCAGTGTACGCTCGGCGTAAAAAATAAAAATTGCAGCGGACGCCGGTGTCCGCCCTGGCAGCGAATGCATTAAACAGCAAAAGTGTTTAAACAGAATGGGTGAATGGGTGTAGAGTTCTCGTGAACAGTGACAACAATTTTGCCTAGTACAATGGTTACCGCTTGATAGATGTCACTACTAGCTTTGTAACCTTCATATTTATAAAATATTACCCAAATTATCAATATTCCATCAATTTTACATGTATTTCTTTATTGGGAGTAATTTGAGTTCGCGACCGTAAGCTGGGAAAGAACCAACTGTAGCACTGTTGCAGTGACTGTTGGTACTATTATGCTAATAGTGTCCATTTGGTGAATGGCTATTTTCATATTTTGCTCACTCTTCATACCTCCAAGGATATCAAAAAGTAGGTTTTCCTTTTTTTGTCGACTATTTTGTTAACCAGACAATCTCTGAAACTACTGTATTGATTGTTGTATAATTTTGGATGCCTATAAAGTTTAAGAATATCGTGTAATCGATAAAACACTAACCAAAATTCGTGCAAAGTAATTTGTATTGAAATTCTGTGAAATAATACACTCGTACTTCTATACCACTTCTCTTATTTTTTACATATGAAAAGCCGAGAATTTAGATAGTAAGACTTTAAATCCGTATTTGCTGTCGTATGTTGCCTTATTTTTAAACTATTATATACTTTTGTATTTATTATTATCTAGTTAGTCTTTTTTTTGATGAGGAAAAGTTAGTGTCAAGTACACTCTTTTTCAAAAAAAGATATTAATTAACATAAAATGAAGTACCACGATAACAAACTAAAAAACGCATAAATTGGAAAAAACTAATATCGCTTGATAATAATTTCAGTGTTAACAACATTATAAGCCAACTAAAAACAATATATTATTTAAGTAACTAAAACGCATTAGGCATAATTGATTGTTTACTAATTTATAAATGCGTTTCAATTTTGACTTGATTTCTTTGGTCTACGTTTTGTAATTATCGAATTGTTTTTATCTATTTTAATTTTCTATATCTTTTTCGTTCTGCCATGGATGGCATTAAATTGGTGCCCGTTTTAAAAAAAATATTAAAAAGATGTGCTTCCCACTTTGTCCTCACGAAATGACTCCTTGTGTTCAAAAAGTGAAGTATTATATACCTAATCATGATGTCTTGACAATTGGTGTAAATATCGATATTCGAGAATAAACAATCATAAAACTTAAAAAGATTCAAAATTTGTTCGTTTTCTTGGCGGTTCACTACTTCTAGAATACCTAAATGCTGGTCTCCCGTTTCCGGCTGTTAGTCTGTTTGTCGTCTCATGGTGATTTTATTGAAGTGATTGCCTGAAATTTTAAATGTACTTTAAAAATAATATTGATGATCTTGCTTTACCTATGATTTAACAATTATTTATCAAAACGAAAATCTTAAACTGTATGTAATAAATTAACACGATTTCTTTAGAATTTCCATTAACTCTGTTATAGTACCTACCACTACAACAAAAGGTTCATACAATGTTGATGACAAGGAAGCAAAATTTTTAAATGAGTACTTTGTTTAAATGTACTTAGGTATATCTATTTGGAACTGTCAGTCATACAAATATATGACACAAAGATAAAAAGCAGAGGTTATGACGGCTTACGTACATTTGTATATTTGTAGGTATATTTATATGCTGATTATCCAAACTAGGTATTTTATTTATCGCTTTGACGGCCTTGCAACCAACAGTTATGAAAAACATTTTTCACAAACACAATACTCGTTTTATTCCCGTGCATAAGTTAAAGTACGCTTAGTAATTAAGTAATTTTAACAAATGTCTAACTGTGCCAATTATGTCTCAAAGCTCCGTAACTTGTAAAATGTGAAAATGGTCGTATTCTCGAGTTGTTCTCGTCTGGAATTCGGCGCTAATTAAAATTTGTCTACACTCCCTCTTCACAAAGGTGATGACGTCATCTCAAAAG